GTGGGGTGCATGTGTATGTTTGTGTGTCTGGTGTGCATGTGAATGTGTGTATGGTGTGTACATATGTACCCACGCATATGTGGAGGCTAGCAGAGGATGTGTGGCGTTTTGCTCCAGCTCTTCCTTATCCCTTTGAGACAGCCTCTCACTGGGACTGTTTGGCTGTTTGGGCTAAGCTGGTTGACCAGCAAGGGCAACAGTCTCCTATCTGTCCAGTTATGTGGGTGAGAGGATCTGAACTCGGCTCTCCATGCTTGTGCAGCAAGCACTTTGCCCACTCATCCATTTCCCCAGCTCCAAACTGGTAGTTTTAATAACGCAATCCTTTTAGAGTTCTGGGGGTTGGGGTTCTGGTAAGAATCTCACTGGGCTAAAAATCAAGGAGGCTTCTTCTGGAGGCTCAAGGGGGAAGAAACTGGTTCCCTGCCTTTTTAGCATTAGCAGATACCTGCCATCCTGGGCTGATGGCCCCTGCAGCAATATTCAGGGGAGTTTTCCTCAGTCTCCTGCAGAGTCTCAGGACACCATCTGGCCCTTCTCCCATGAGCAGTTTTATGACAGTGTTGGGCCCTCCCAGATGATCTAGGAAGCTCCTCCCATTGTGCCCTCAGCTGAGGAAGACCACATTTCTGTAACTGTTTAACTTCCGGTGAAGAAGCAAACCCATATATTCACGAGAGACTCTGGTGGGACCTGGGAATACACGGCACCTGAGAGTAGCCATGGGCGGCAGGGAGCCACTCAGGGACAAATGAAACCATGAACAACTGTGTCTCAGGCTTGTGGGGGCCAGAGCCTCAGGCTCATTCATTCCGACTCACCTTGGAACCCCTGTCTGCAACAGAAGAAGATGCCAGAAAACATACCCTGGTGGGTCACCTACATACCAACAAGGAATGTTGTTACATACCCCAGAAACAAGGCAGTAGCAAAATCCTAAACATTAAATTGTGAGGTAGCCACATAGCAGAATGTTAGCAAGTTGTTAAGAATTTATACATGCGAAGACTTCTTTATCACACGGAGATATACATGTAGTACAGTGTAGTTCTTTAAAAGGGGTATAAAGTTCGAGGCCAGCCTAGTCTACAAGAGCTAGTTCCAGGACAGTAACCAAAGCTACAGAGAAACCCTGTCTCAAAAAACCAAAATAAATAAATAAAAATAAAAAAAATAAAAGGGTATAAAATTATTTGTCTTTATCTCAACTGTGCTTTTTTATTTGATGGGGGTAGAGATTGAGTCAAGGTTTGGAGTGTTCTAGGCAAGGGCTCTACCTTTCAGATACATTCCCTTACATGCCTTAACTTCAGCCACGTAAGACTTTCGAATACCCTTTCTATAGTAAACGAAAATGGACACACAACAACAATACAGCAGTCACAGTGACCTCTGGGGTTTGTACTGCTGGTGGTCCCCCCTTCTTTCTCCTCTGGTGGGTCTGGCTGTTCAGAAAGCAATTAAACGTGCAAAGAGAAGCCTGGTGAGGCTGGAGAACTCTTTTATGTATTTAGTCTGAGCGGCTCTGCGTATTTTCTTGGCAACCAGGAAACCAGCCTGGCTCTAGGATCAGACGAAGTTGGTGGAGGTTGTGTGTTTAAACAGAAAAGCGTCATGGGAGGACCAAGGACTCAGGATCCTCACCGCTGGCTAGTGCCTGGAAGAGTGGTATAGAGCAGCTGCCGTGACAATCAAGGCCATGGGGCTGGAGAGGGCGGGACTTATGGGTTAAGTCAGAAGGAAGGGAACAGAGCAAGCATTGAGGAATGACTGAGTAGGTCAATTTGGGAAAAGAGTCTGAAGTGGAAGAGTGGGTGCTACAGCAACATATGGGGGAGCCACACAAGGCCGTCATGGTGGAAGGTGACTTTGGGGGTCTTCCTTCGTTGTTCTCTAATATAGCGTAGCCCCTCCAGCCAGTTTTGGGAGGATCCCTTGTCTTTGCTTTCTGAGTGAGGGCTGGAATTCAGATTTGAAGGCCATGACTTCAACCAGAATTGATGTAAGTGCCAGGGATTCAGGCTCCAGTCATTATCCTCATACAGCGAGGCGGCTCAATTAGACCACAGCCACCAAGACTTTCCTGGGCAACCACAAGTCTGTTGACTGGAGGATGATAACCAGGCTGGTCCTGGCTCCAGAGCTCTGCCGGAAGAGCTTGCCTGGGGGCTCTCTGCCTCCTGAATCTGAAACCAAAGAAACTGGCTGTCTTCCAGAAACCCACAAACAGAGTCTGGGGATGAATTGTCCCGAAGAACACAATGTCTTCTCTGCCAGCTGAGGTGAGAAAGCCCAACATCTCTGGCTTAACGCTCTCTTCACTCCACCATAAGCCTCTCATTTAAACGAAAGCATCTGCAGGGCAGTGGAGATTCATTTCTGGCTAAATCCCCTTGGTGACAATGGTGATGATGGTGCCAGGAACTTTCCTGGTTTGCTTTCTACTGTTGTGACAGGAAACTGGGCAAAAGCAACGCAGTGGTGGTGGTGAGGTCTTTGGTTTGCAGTCTCACCCCACACTTCATCACTTAGAGAAGAAGCCTGCACAGGACCTCGAGCAGAAACTGGGAACAGGAACTGAAGCAAGACCACGTGGGAAAGTTGTTTCCTGGCCTTCCTTCCTTCCTTCCTTCCTTCCTTTCTTCCTTCCTTCCTTCCTTCCTTTGTTTCTTTCTTTCTTTCACAGTCCAGAGGTGGCACCGCCCGCAGTGAGCTGGGCCCTCCCACATTCAAGAAAATGTCCCCCAGGCACGCTTACAGGCCAATCTAAGGGAAGCATTTTCTCCATCGAGGGTCCCTCTTCCTTGATGATTCTAGCTTGTGTCAAGTTGACCACAAACTAACCAGCACAGGAATAAGTGAATGAAAAGGAAATAGAAATAACTTAAAATGTAAAAATGAAAAGCTTTTTAGAACGTTGCTTTCTGATGCCCTGAAGGAGGCATCTTTCTGGGAGTAGGTACAGCTCAGTCTCTTTTTCTAAATTCAAAACTTTCTTTGTCATCGGTGTTAGAAGCCACTTTGAGAGGGCAGTTCTGCCCAGCAGTAAGAACACAGACTATAGGTTAGAACTCTGGCTTTGCACTTAGTGCCTGTGTGACTGTGGCCACAGATCTTGTTTGTTTGCCCACGGCATGGGAAAAAAAAAAAACTGCCTTAGTCTCTCACTTGTAACAGGGCAGTAAAGTAGAGCTTTTGTTCAGGGTTATCCTGGAGACTGAAGCATTTCACTGAGTGACTGGGTTGGGACAGCATCTCCCCTTTGGCAATGCTGTGTTTCCAGAGTAGACCTAATAGACCCAGAGGTAGCATGGCCTTCTTTGTCTTGTGTGTGTGTGTGTGTGTGGTGGGGGTCTCTTCCCTTGGAAGGGGATGTTTAGCGATTACTAAGACAGATTTTCTAACATCTGGAAAGTCACCAACCCTATGCTCTTGGCTGAGTGGTAGTTTCTGTGGGATTTAAGAAACTGTGTTTTCTTTGAAGTTCTACGAAGTTCCTTGGATCTGTTAGGTTTTTTTTTATTTATTTTTATTTATTTATTATTTTTTGCCGACTGGCTTGAAGGCTTGGTGACAGAAATGCTAAGAAGAGTTCATGGACAGCAGCTGAGAACCAGAGGTGTCCGTGAAGGTGAACGTCCCTGGGGTGGCAATAGGCAGGTCTTCCTTCTCCTATTCCCTTCTTTGAAAGCACAGAGGTCCCCACTCTCCAGCCTACAGATCATTTTCCATGTTGCTAACCTAGTCACAGAGTTCCCAACCGCTTTCTATTTTGGGTGTTGACACCGTGTTCTCAGCCTTAGCTAATCACCAAGATCCTCTGGGGTCCCCCCCCCCCCCGAAACCCTCCAGGAACTTCAAAAGCCACCCACAAGCACATACAAATAAAGCCAGAGAGGCTCCTGATATCCTGGAAACAAAACTCTTAGGTTAGAAAGATAATTTATGGAGTCGATTAATATTTAGTGGTTACAGCTGTTCGGAACACATGTGGATCTGAATAGCAAGCAGCAGCAGACTCAAGATGGGTGAGGGCATGGGTTTGTTTGCTCGTAGTTGTTCAGTTTAGTCTGAGGATTTCAAACAAGGCAAACATACACACCTGAACCAATTCATTTTCTCCGCGGTGAGTCACCTGCTCATTGGGAATGGTTGTTAGTTTGGGGGTTGGGAGACTGATTCACGATTTGTTCATGTTCTTTTCATAGAGGGAGTTAATTCATTTAACCATCAAAGGGGACTTTTAAGTGACTAGCTTGAACCAAAGGGGATGATTACATCAAAAAGTTTTAAGAAGGCAACAAACTTCCTTTTATGTATCCAACTAAATGAGATCTAGCTCTAAGTTCTTTTCCTGTCTTCCTACTCTTTTTGGTCTCACTTTTCAGCCAGCTGTGGGGAGAAACTTTTCCAAATAGCGGTGCGAGTGTGGGCTTTTGGGGTTCTCGGTGTCCCTGGTCGCAAACCATCACCTCACGGCTCAACGCTGGGGTGTGGAATCCTCTAGGTCTTCCAATAACACTAACATCGCCGTGAAGTCAGAGCTCACTGTCTGATGGTAAAATCCTCTCTTCCAGTTAGGGCTCATGCTACTGCAGCCTCGGAGCCCTTCTGGGACTCAGTTGACGTTCCTGGTTCTTCCTCCTTGACACGGATGACACCGGAGGTTCTGGTTGGTATGGTCCTGGAGAGTTGGTTCTAGGCCGTGCCAGCAGACCAAAGCTTGTGGGAAGTGGGGTTCTGTAGGTAGCTGATTAGATGAGCTGGCAATCACAGCCAGTTTCTTCCCAAAATGGGCAGCTCCTCAGTTAAATGGGGGTTGGGGAGCCAGGTAGAGATGTCTCCTCCAACCTTTCTTCCCACACTTGCCAGTGTCACAGCAATTAACCTAAAGTCAGAGCGGGAGCTCCCCTTATGAGCCTTCAGGCGCTGGGACCCACTAGGTTATGAAACAACAACTTTGACTTGCATTCGTACGTGTACGTCCCTCCCTTGCACACAGGCGCCCACTCTCCGAGGCCCAGGTGGTAGGGAGGTGGCGTGCAGCAGCCCTGATCCTGGGTGTCTGCGTTCCCGCGGGGTCCCCAGGCCCTCGGGCCTCGCGCTGGCAGGTGCCAGAGAGGCTCCCAGCTCCTCAGCGCCACCGCGTGGGGTGGCCAGGGTCCCGCGTGCCCGGCGGGAGCGGCGCGGGGGAGGCGCGCGGGCCTGGGCGGCGCGGAGCAGAGCTGAGCCGAGCGGAGCAGCCGCGTCCGCCCCCGCCGGGCCGCGCGCTGCCGAGCCGGGATCCGCGAGTGCGCGCCCAGCGCAGGGCCAGCGCGGCCGGCCACCCGAGGGTCGCGCCCGTGTCCGCGTCCATCCCCCGGCCGCAGACCCCGTGCTCCCTGCACCCTACCGCCCCCTGCTGCGCGGTGCCGCCGGCCCTCGACGCTGCGGCCGGGGGTCAGCGCGCACTCTGACGGAGCAGCCCCCGCGTGTCCCCGAGGACTGAGCCCTTCCCGGCGCGTTTGCCAAGCACGGCCACGCTCCAGTGCCAGGTACCTGGGGCGGTCTGAAATGCGTGGTCACGCAGCGCGCGTGGAGCGCAGACCCCGCAGGGGTTGAGGGAGTCGGGGCCGGGGGTCTGGCGTGTCCCCGAAGTCTTGTCCCCACGTGGACCTGGGGAAGTGGTGGCAGGCAGAGCCCAGTCAGCCCGGGCTCTTAGGACCCGGGGCCCACGCCACCCGTGTGGGGGCCACATCCACGACACTGTGGCCAGTGGGGCGAGGGGAGCCAGACGCGCAAGTGCCCAAAGTTTTCCTCTGAGCACTTTGCTGGACTTAACTTTGAAATGCGAGGCAGAGCTGAGCAGTTTAACCAGTTTTAACACTAAGAAAACAGAGGAAGAGGGGGAGATGGGCTTGCTGCGTGCGTTTCAATTCTTAGTACTGGGCATAATTGTGTCTGTCTCCAAAGACCACGGTGAGGGAGACCAGTGGACATTGACTGACGTCCTTATGCTTCGGGTCATGGTTTATTTAACAGGTCTGGAGCTTAGGTTACAAGTCACCAGAAGGGATTCTGTGTTGAATCTTAGGGGAAAAAAAAAATCAAAATTTGAGTCAACAAATATTTGTTGGACAGTCATTTCCTAACCGGCAGGACTTCATTTTCAGTGTGAGTTTACATGTGTCGAGAGCCTAAGTAGTTGCCCAAATGAGCTCGCTTTTGGCTTTTGAAATGCAAGCGGGTGTGTGTGTGTGTGTGTGTGTGTGTGTACCCTGGTGTGACTGGACTTGCGGGTAGCAGGTGGACAGTTGGTATCGCGTCAGAACTGAACCAGAAAATCCAGATGGGAGACACACACCTGTGTGATCCATTGGAAGCCCACCTTGCACCTTCCACAACTATTTTAAAGTATGCCCGTCCTTTGGCGGAGGCTGGAACTTCCTTCCATTTACCTAAACACATAGCAACAACGGAAATCGAATCTCCCCAAGCTGGTGTTCCTTGGGAGCTCAGTCATGCAGACACACACCTGAGATGACTGAGGACTGGGGCCGCCTCAAGAGCTCTTTGAGATTATAAAATGGTGGAGAGAAAGCTCCCCCGTGGGGTGGCGTGAAGATGCCTTGCCTGCGTTAGCTGGGCTGGATTCCAGGCTCAGTCCTAGTATTGTGCAATTCCATCTCAGAGCAGTAGACAAGACTGAGAAATCAGGGAGGCTGATCCTGCCTTTACTTAAAATTGAGGTATTTTGTACATCATGGATTTTCAAATTTAATGCTTCAAAATGTTGCATGAAACATTCCTAGTAACATTACTGATTTTTTTTTTTTTTGTAACCTCGGAGACATTTGCCTTTGACTCACTGGTGTTCTAGATTTGCTCTACCTCCCCAGCAGTCTTGCCAATTTATAGAAGCAGTGGAGTATCCACGAAGTGGAGTATCCATCTTGCAGGAGCTGGCAAGTGCATGAGATTCGGCACATGGTATCTGCTAGCATAGTTGACCTAGGTAGGTGCGTCACCATTCATCGTGGTTCTTTGGACCTTGTCAAATCTTGCTGTGAAGTCTCAGTTTGTCTTCACAGAGAATGAGAGAGGCCGGGCGGTGGTGGCGCACGCCTTTAATCCCAGCACTTGGGAGGCAGAGGCAGGCGGATCTCTGTGAGTTCGAGACCAGCCTGGTCTACAAGAGCTAGTTCCCAGGACAGGCTCCAAAACCACAGAGAAACCCTGTCTCGAAAAACAAACAAACAAACAAACAAAAACAAACAAACAAACAGAGAATGAGAGAAATGATAATACTCTGCGTGCTTGCATCGTGTGCCGCGCGCACGTGTGCGGACTCTTCCAGAGTCCTGTACAGAAAGCCTAGCCTCTATGGTGATGGTTTTATGCGCCGGTGCCTTCTGCCTGGGGTTGGAGCGCTTCTTCCCTCCTTGGGCTGTGTGAGAACACCGTGAGGTGCCGTCTGTGAGTCAGGAAACAACCATCACCGTGGGTACCAGATCGGCTCGTACTTGGATCCTAGACTTCCAGAACTGTGAGCTACAAACTTCTGTTGTTTATAAGCCACAGTCTATAGCACTTTGTTACAGCAGCCGGAATGGCTGGCGTGTAACAAACAGCTCTCAGAGTTCTCAGTTACAACGAGAGACTGTGCGAAGGCGTGGGGGCCCTCCTGTAGACTAAGTTTTCTCTGGGACAGCCTGGTAGGCCTGCATTTGACTTGGCAAGCTGGAGACATGTGCTTTTGCCCTGGAAGTTAGCCCAGGCAGATAGTCTTATAAATATTGTTTGTGTTGTACAGAGAACCAGTGGAAGCCTATGAATCAGGATGGATACATTTCCTTCTGCCTGTTTATTGTGAAAGGGTGCAATTTTTTGTTTTTGTTTTTTTGTTATTTTTTTTTAATGTAAACTTAATTTTGCCACCAGACAGAGTATTTTGGCTTCCTTTCTGGTATACTTAGTTCTAGCTCAGGATTTCTGTTTTTCTTGGGCCTAATTCAAGTGATATTTCGATCACTGTATAACTTAAAGTAGCTTGCACCCCCAGTCTTTCTTTAGGCTCCTTCTTGTTGAGGTGGTGGCCAGACACCAGGAAGAAGCCACGGTGACATCTGGACATGGGGAGGGTTGCCTCTTTGGTGATGGTCTTCTTGCTGTTCTCAAGGGAGTCTCTCTTCCTCAACTTCCCACCCTCACCCCAGTGCTCCAATGGTCTCCTGGCTAGGGTTTCTGCTGCGTTTTATTTAACTGGGTCTCACTCTTGACCTTTGCATAGGCTCTCAGACTTCTCCCCCAAGGCTTCAAAGTCCCTCCCTATTAGAGAGCAGAGAACCTGTGGAGGTTTTCTGAAACCACACTAGGCTGCCTTTTCCCAACATCACACACAGCTGGACCAAAGCTCCCCATGCTTGCCACCTCACCTTCAACCTTCAATAGGTCCTGGGCGTGGGGGTCTTTCCTAGTCCGTTTCCTCCCAGGATCAGAAGAACCTTTCAATATCTGTGACCAAGAAGGCTTCCTAGGTTGTTTCCTCTGTTGCTGAACTCCAGGCTTAGAATAGAGCCTTAGACTGAAACAGCTAAGCTTTCTCACTGATCTGTGAAGGGAATGTAAACGTAAGTTTTCTTGTATGAGGGCATCATATTCCGGCACAGCAAGATGAATATAGGTAAAAAAATAACTTACTATCCATTTCAAATCCAAAAAGAAAATATTTTGCAGGGTGCTGGTGCACACACCTTTCATTCCAGCACTTGGGAGGCAGAGGCAGGAGGATCTCTGTGCGTTTGAGGCCAGCCTGGTCTACTGAGCGAGTTCCAGGACTCAAGGCAACACAAACAAAGCCTGTCTAGGAGAAGAAAAAAAAAAAAGGAAGAAAGAAAATATCTCGAATGTTCCCAATGCAAAGAAATGATAAAATGCTTGGGGTACGGGGTAAGCCGGTTGTCTTGGTTTAATCATCACACTTTGTGGCACACAGATGGAAATATCACAGTATTCCTTCCATAATTGAAAATGCAATCTTAATATTAATTACCCTCCTCCTCTGTCCCTGGAGAGAGGGTGTCTCAGTCATGTGGAGCGGGGTGGGGGGAAGATGGAGGAAAACAAGACAGGGAAGTGCCATTACTCCCTTCGGTAGGCCAGCCTGGGTTATGTGCACGGGACTTTTTAATTCCCATGGGTGAATGCAGATTCCTGTTTCTGGGGATGCTGCTTCATCTTATGAACGACCCACGGTATTCCTAGCATGTATGATGACTTGGCAGAATGACAGAAAATCTGGTTACAGCTGTCCCTTCTGAGGGCTTGGGAGTTACCTAGGGAGTAAGGCAGGCTCTTAGGGAGGCAGCTCTGTGTCTGAGCCCTGGTTTTTGCTCACCCTGGGTTCTGCTTTTGCTGAAGGTGAGCCTTGGAAGAGGTGAGCCTTCAAACAGACTTAGCCGCATGAATCTGAGAAGGAGCCAGAGACCCACTAAAGCTTGCGTCTGCCGACGGTGTGTCTGGCAGGTGTCTGGCAGGTGTGCTCATCTCTTCGCTTCTGGGAGACCTGGTGGGACCAGCAGTGCCACCAGCAGGCAGGACAGCAAGAGTACCCAGAGTAAAAAGCTCTTCTTGTTGTCTCCAAGCTGAATGCACACGGTGACATGTTCTTGTCAGATCCTGTTAATGATTCTCATCAAGTCCAGAAAAGGACTGTGAACTTTTAGGTCAGATAAAAGGTCCTGAGAACACACGTGTGATTCTGAAAACGTATCCCTAAACTCTCTGTATTGCTTTAAGAGCTCTCTATCCCCCATAGCCTGAGCTTGGTGGCTGCCGTGTCTCTCTGTAACCTTAGTAGTGAGCTGCCAGGAAATGAAGGCACAGGTGTGTCAGCATCAACCACCAACCTAGGAATTTCCGTCAGCATTCCTGACGAGATTCCTGAGGGGAGGCAGCCTCAAGTAGTTCTTGTGGTTTTCTGTAAAAAGAAACTAAGAAAGTCTTGGGAGAGGTGAGGCATGGAAAGTTATCTATCAGTTCCTCAGGTCTTTGCCTAGCTGTGGTGTGTGGGACTACCTTCTACCCTTACCTCTGAAGTCCACACCCAAATCTCTCATGGTTCTGCTTCCAAATTCTAGTGTCTGTGGGAGGCGCCAGGCACACTAGTTGTGTTGCGCACAGTCTTCAAGAGACACTTAGAAAGACGTAGCCTTAGTGTGGGACCTGGAAATGTCAGAGGGACTCTTCGCTTTCTCACAGCAGGGAGTTCATTCCAGTGAGGAGGGCGGGCTTTGGTTTCTGCACTACTGCTTAGGAGCCTGTGACCCCAGGTTCCCCATGGAATAGGAATGGTGGTGTACACCCCCCCCCCACACACGTTAGGTAGTAAATAATGAAGAGAATGGCTTATTAATAATTTGCAGGTGTTGGCCAAAGAGATGGCTCAGCGGGTAGAGCATCTAACCCCAAGCCTTTGACTTTAGCTCCGTCCCTTTTACTCATATGGTCGGTCATAGGAGAGGCTGTTCTTTGGTCTCTGCATGCACACTCACAC